GATCACACATGAACGGTACGAAGAAAAAAAATGTGTGTTATTTTGTAATTGACTGTTAAAAGTGCAGCAATAAAAATAATCAAAAGTAAATAATAAAACAATAGAAACTGTTGGCTTCAGGAGCACAAGCTTGAAAAAAATGCTGAAAATATTAAAAATCTAACATTCTTCAGCATTTTTTCTCTTAATGTTCAAAACAGAAGAAAAATAAATCCTCCTCCATTAATTTGCTTCTTCTAAGGGATCATCGTGTCACTGTAGGAATGCTAATATTCATAGTAAATACAGAAAAGCTCAAGGAGCTTAAGGCTTTAAAAAATTTAGCAGACGTTTTAAGAAATAAACAGAATGGGGAACAAAGAAAGGAATGTTTTTGTGTGGACCTTTCAGATTATTCAGGGTCTTTTTTGAACAATTATTTTAAAAAAGATTTTTTTTAAATGTAAATTAACATTTTTTAGGTTATTTTAGGCCTTGTAACTATATTGATTACTCCATAAATAGCATATTTTGACTTTCTGAACAACCTCTAACTGTTTTTAATGAATAAATAACTGCAGTGACTCATTTCACACAAATACGTAAAAAAAAAAGAAAGAAAAAAGGATCAAATTCTCAAAAATCAGTAACTCGTTTTCAGGGACACATTTCCTGAGAAGCATTAAAATATTAAAAAGGGACAAAGAGGGCAGTTAAAAAAAGAAAATCATTCATTTTAGAGTCATCAAAATGTGAGTTTGTAATGCTGATAAAGGTTAAGGTTAACAAAAAAAAAGTCACAGTCAAAAGATCGTCGTGGTGAACCGAGCTCCGAGTTTTGGACATGAAGCTGTACAGGAAAAACTAAAAACCAACAAACAAACAACAAAGTATTTACACAAAGTTAGGTCATACAAGAGGTGATAGAAAAGAATTATCAAACATCGTTGACATCTGTTAGCAAAAAAGGTATAATTTGTACATTTCTAGCACAAGACTGTACATCATCTTGTATTGAGAGGCAGTTTCGTATGGCAAAGCGAGACATAAGTACGTATCATGCTGCACTAATATAGTGCAAAAATATGCCTGATAAACAGAGAAGGGAGAGGCAGGCAGACGTGATGGCAGCGCTAGAACTTCTCAGGCTCGCTTTTCCTTTCTTGCTCTCTTTTTTTATTTTTTATCCTCGCGAGTTGCCGTAGAGGGATCAAGAGCAACAAGAGATGGAAAGACCCATGCAATGTTCCAAAAATAAATAAATAAATAAATAAATTAACCGAAACGAGGGATGAATTGTTTGTGCTTTTACAGCAAATGTTTCTTGTGGATTCACCCTCTTCTTCGAGCAGTCTGTGCTACCGGCTGGTAGATGAAAAAGACGCAAAAAGGCAAACTTCCAAAGGAAGATAGAGACTTTGTGAAGGCTCTTGTAAATATTCAAATTAAAAAATAAAAAATGAAAACAAAAACATTAAGGCTGCTAATGAACACGGTTGCATTGTCTGACAGAAACCTTAGTCTGTGAGTTTGCTGACCAATGCCCAGCACTGACCCTGACATGGAGAGGTTTCCAAAACAACCCTGTGTCCCAAACAGATGTGTCTGTACAGGAAGTGAGTCAGGTCTGTACAGGAAGTGAGTCAAGTCTGTACAGGAAGTGAGCAGGAAGGAGACTTCTACATGTCAGCATCTCCATCGTAGGCCAGAGTCAGAGGTTTCAGTCTGTTGTTCATCTGCCGTCGCTGCGGCTTCTTTGGCTTCTTGCTGCAAAATGAACACAAGGCAGAAAATTATAATAGTTTAGGCACTTTTTAGGATTTTTTTTTGTGTTGTTTAGTCTACTAAAATGTTTAAAACCTGCTATTAGTCTGAGATTTTTATGTTTTTTTCTAAATTCCTGAGGGGTGTATGCGTCAGACTCCTAAATGTTTAAAATTTTATAATATTTGCTGTTAATGTACAACAAATTTTAGTTTTATAGTCTGGAAACTTTTGAAGTGATGTCCCTTATCAACCAGAAAAAGTTTGACAAACAGTCTCATATAAAGTATCTCAAAGTGATACTTGAGTAAAAGTACCATAAATTATAAAAGTTCTCTAAGAATATTATTTGAATAAAACTCTTAAAGTATCTGACATGTATTGTATTTAAGTATCAAAAGTAAATTTCTGATATAAAATGTACTTAAGTGTTAAAAGGGAAAGCATTATGAGCAGTTAGAATGTCAAAAATGACTTTTATTGGGAGGTGAGTTCCCCCAAAAATATTTTTCTAAAGATCTTAATGTTAACTTTAAAAAATTGGGATGCACCACCTGTTTCAGTTGCATAAATACAATCTGTTTTGGAGCCGTCATAAATCAGGATAGTTTTTTTTTTTACCTCCAAGGTAATGTTTTCGGTCGCGTATGTCTGTCCGTCTGTCTGTCGTTCTGCCTGTGGACAACATTACTGAAAAACTTGTGGACGGATTGTCATGACATTTTTAACACTTGTGGGTACTGGGCCAAGGAACACAACTTTAAATTTTGGTGATGTTCCGGATCACGATGCGAATACGGGAATTTTTTTTCTTTTAACACTCTGAGATCGGCAAAGCTGTGATGCTTTCACAGGGCGTGGGTTTCAAATTGTCCAGCAGGTGGCACTGTAGTATTGGTGTGCCCCTTTGTAACTCTATTACAGGATGGGGGAAATTGGTCTTGGCGGAGGTTTGCACTCT